ACCTACAAACATTATGTATCTCCTTAAAGACTAGCATATTTATTGCAGTATATGCTTTCATGCGTTACAACTCCCTTTGTCAGATGCAACTTATCTGCTCTGTATCATCTATCACTTACAGTCAACAGCTATTGTTGACTGAAATGCTTATCCTCAAATGTTAGCTGACAAATAAAACTATACCAATACAACTTTGTTGGTTCTGAAGAAAAGAAATGATTGAAGATTTTGTGACTCGATGGCAAATATTTATTGTTATCACACAAACTTCAGTTTTGTAATATGATCATCAAGAACAATTATTTTCTTATTCTAATGAAATTCTTTCTATTACAAAACAGTCTCAAGTCTTGGAGAAAAAATGTTCTTCCTGCTTATAAAAATTCCCCTACTGCAGTTTTAGTTTAGTCTAATTTTTGTATGTATAATGGTTTTCAATCGTAACAATAAAAAAAATGACTTGATATATCATATTATGAAAATCAAATCCTTTAGCTAAGAAAATACAATATAACAGTATACAATAGTAAAAATGCAGTATTCTTACAGTAGTAAGAATAAAATGACAAGGATAACTATAAAGCTGTAAACATAAACAGATATATTAAATTAGGCCATTCTTTTATTTATCTCATATTGTCAACGTTGATGAGTAACAGACCCCAGGATTTCAACATGCTATTTCCATACAGAGAACAAGAAACTAAAACTGGATCTTTTCTAAATGAAAAGCGCTTTTTAAAAACTTAATTTAGTTTATTTTGATTAATACACTATTTCTGTTCAGTCAATTCACTTTGAACTGTTTTGGAAAAGCTTTCACATTACTATTAAACTGGCTTTGGAATGGCAACCTAACTTCATTCTTTCCTGTGCTAAATGGATCTCTGCCAGCTCTCCAGAGCAACTTTTGGGGATGTTAGAGATGGGCCGGGATACAGAATGAAGGAGAATTAAAGGAACTGTTTTATGCAATTCCTCTCAATTTATTATATATTATGTTATTCCACCATGAAGGCAATATTGCTATAAACGTCACCAATTAAGATTCAAACACATTAAGGAAAAAAAGAACCTATTTATTCTATCAATATTGCAGAACTTCACAAGTTACAAAAGGTGAATTCCCATAGTCAAGAAACTTTCCTTAAAATAGTGCCTAGGAATGCATCTAGTATAAAACTGAACTGGAAGGAAAATAAAAAGTCCTTCCTATTCATTAAAGCAAAAGGTAAAGATGCAAAGTATAAAACACTGCTTCCTTCTTTTTAAATAAATATGTTTGAGTTAGATAAGATTTAATTTATACCTTGGAAAAGATGACTGCTGCATAAAAAAAAATGGGTGGAACCAGCATATATGTCTGAGCTGACACACAGAATGTATTCAAACATGACAAGAAAACTTCAGATTATTCAGTACGTGCTTGGTACTTAAGTGACTAATATAAAAAATGCAAGAATCAACTTGCCTTCCATGCTTCCTTGATCTGAGGAATTAAATTAAAAAGCTTGTATTACAACAATAATACTGTATTGAATGACTGCATTCAGTGGATTCAACTACAGTGCTATAAATATTGCCCTTTCCAAAAAGTTATACTCACTGTAATCCAAAATATCCATTTGTAATTCAAATCTAAGATTAGACATCGACAAGTTAGCAGCTTTAGGACTGAAATGCACAAAATGCAGTCCAAATAGTGACTGAAGTAGAAAAAAAATCACCAGCATAAGTCATATGAAAAAATAAAATCAGCAAAGCTGATCATACCTGTTTGTATATTAAAAGTATATTATTCAAAGCAAAGTTTCTTAGCTAGGCCTGCCAGCTTTTGGCAAAGTATGAGAAACTTCCTGAAGAATATGGGATTGGGCTCTGAGTTACCTTAACTCAATCAACACCTGCCAACACTGGCAATGATCAATCACCCCACCCTCCATTGCACCTTGAGTCCTTTCACCAAGGAACTGGAGAGTCCCCCCAACTCTTGAAGTTTCCAATAGCCTGCAGGAAGCAAATAGGAATCTTTTCTTACATGAAGTGAACTTTGTTCTGTTAAACTGTTCTATATCAGAATCCAAGCCACATTTTAAGCTGTTGACAATTAAACACAAACAATGAAAAAAGGTTTCACATTTAAGTTCAAAAACTCTCAGCTTAACATTCTATATGATTTTTTTCCTTAATGGATTTTTTAAAAAGTCACCTACTATAGAAAAAGCTTAGTATAGTTAAAAAAAAAAAAAAACAGTCACAGCATAGGTGGGCCACCCGAAGTTCTTAATCACTAATAAAGTGTGGCCATTGGAAGCTCTGGCTTCTGTCTCACTGGGTAGCCAGTAAGCAGTAAATAAATTACTAATTTCTTACTGACATTCATGGAAGAAAATAAAACAGTCTAGTACCACTAAATGGGCAACTGATCATCAGATCAAATGACTGGTAGGGTGAAACTTCTGGGTTATGAATGTTTATGGAAGCAAGAAATGTGAAAAGTTCAATGAGGTGGGGAAGGAATGCACACACATGAACCCCTAACATGGCAATCTATAACACTGAAAGAGTTGCCCACTAATTCATTACAGGAATTCAAGTATCTGATGTGTAATAGCTAATCTCTGTTCTTATCAATGTAATCGCACAATGAATCCAACATTTTAGTGTTGCCAAGGAAACACATGAGGAAACTTTATCTCATATCATGAGTCAGACTACAATTCTATATGTACTTCATTTCCCACACTTTGTAGGAAAAGAACAACATTAAGTAAGAGTCGCTAGGAATCAGGAGGCCTATAAATTGTATAATAATAAAAATGCTGTCTTAATGAGCTCATGTATTAAGATATGTTTGCCACCCACTATAAATCAGCAGTGTAAAGCTCCAAAAGCAAATAAATATAAGCCACAACTTTCTTTTTAAAAGCTGTTTTCTAAACATATTTTCAGTGTCTAACTTTCAGGCAACTGAAGTCTTTAAGGTGAAGGAAAACATGCATTACACTAAAATCCAAACAACCACTTAACCAAAATGTGAACGCTGTTTTCTTTCATCTATAGACAATCCCACACATTTCTATTTTTAATGAGCACAGACAGTAGAAAATACAGACAAAAAATAAGTTTGCAATATGATGTGGTGGAGGAGAATGGGTCTTCTCAAAAAGAATGGGTCTTTTTTGAGTTCTTTGCTCTAAGCAGTGATTAGAAGTTCTGACTTTTATCAGTAATTTTGACAGCTATTTAGGTCCAAGAGAAATCCATAATTTTTACTATACCATGTAAAAATAGCCCAACATTCAATAATCTATGGATTATGAATTTTTATAGTATTGTTAAATTCATATGAAACAGGACCTAGAAAACTACAATTTATGAAAAGAGCATCCAGTAAGAAACATTTCTTACCTTAAATACTTTGCCAAAAGCACCATCACCCAATTCTCCTATAATTTCCCAATAGTCCTCTGGGTTCAAATCTCTCTTGACATGTTCATACTGTTTCTTCTTCTTTTCACCTCCCAACTTGAAGATTTTACGAAAGTTGAAGAACGACATATTTGCCCTTTTTAGTTCAAAAACTATTTTTAAAATCTTCAGAAAAAAATTAAAGCAGTTGTTTTCCCTGCTGAATGGTCTAAAAGGAAAAAAAGTACAAAACTGTGACCACTATGCTATGTGTCAGTAATGATGCTGCTAAGAAAGGAGCAGATAGGGGCAGTTTTGCAGCCTAGATTTTAGATTCGGTACAGAATAATCCAACGTTAACCAGAGCAAGTAGCAGCCACATACAGTTTCCCTCAAGTTTATCCCTCCAGGTTTAGTAACCTAATAATCATATAATTAGTATTAACTTCTCGCAATCACACAATGTGTATGACCAGGCTCCAGAGACACTATCCAAAAAGATGTGTTGATCGCAACAGTCTGAAAGTGGAGGAGTGAAAAAAAGGCCCACTTGATTCTTCAGGATGAAGCATCAAATATTAAATGGCAAGCATCTGTGCAAAAAGCAGACAGCTGTATTCAAGTCCTGCCCCTTACTGAATAGCACAGACTCCAAGTATCATGTCAGATACAACTCTCTTTTCCTTGGTGGACGACAACTTCAGCAATCCATGAGAACAGAAAATATGCATCTTCTTTCCTACACTGGCAAGACAGGCTTTCCTTCAAGACAGCATTTTGTCTATTGGGAGAAATGCAAGAGACAAAATAAGTGGCATAATAAGAATATACTCAACAAATGACTTTTATTCTTCCCCCATCAGACAGTATATTACATACATTAAAAATGAAATTGAAAAGTTATTTCCTATGAAAAAACAGAGTTATATGAAAAAAAATCCCTCCCCCACTTTTTTTTCCTTCTTCGTTGTAGAAAGATGGAAGGAAAATAGGTTGGAAAAAAAATAGTTTTTCCAGGGACAAGCAGCAACCCTCAATGGTGGCACCTCCTTTTCTTTTCCAACAAAAGGGGGGAGGGGGAAAGATGAGAATGAGAAACTCACCAGCGGAGACGGATTTTCGTCTCCCCGCCGCAGAAAAGGAGATGGGGAGGATGACGTCCGCCGCTTTCAGCGTTCTCACTTCCTGTGCCCCCTCCCTCGCTCCCTTCTCTCAACAGTTGCCGTGCGCACACAAACGCCCCTAGAGCCTCTCCCAGCGCTTTCGCCAACACCCCATCCAGCGCCGCCTCGTCTCCCTACCAGCCCACGCAGGCGCTCTAGCACTCAAGTTCCCTCGAATGCGTCTTTCCGAAGCTTTTATCCCTTCGCCGTAATTCCCTCCTTCATTTGTAACCACCGGATTTACGACAATAAAAGGCGGGACAGAAAAAAAAGGCAAAGAATGAATTCTCTTCCGGTTCTTTTACGCCAGCTCGTCCTTTCCGCGAGCGCGCCGGCTCAGTGAAAGAGCCAATGAGAGCGCGCCGGTCTCTCTGGCGGGTAAGTCAGAGGAGGGCTGGGGTGGGGATGACTGCGGGCGGAAGCGTTAGGAGGCCGCAGTGTGGTTGGGGGTGCTACGGAGAGCCGCGTTTTTTCGGTTTGTGTAGGCGCTTCCTCTGTAACACGGTAGGACGATTAAAGCAAGAAAGTACGTTTAAACACACTGCGACTGGGGTGTGTGTGTGTGCTGGGAACATGAGGCTTAATTTACTTTTAGTGTCGTCCGGATGTTTTGATGACCCCTTTCTTTAAACGGAGAATGCTTGGATGCGTGCGGTTAGTCGTGACAGCTTTGTGGGCAGATCTGCAGGTTCCCCCTCGGTACTCAGCTACTGGAGCCACATAAGAGGGAATAATGTTTCAGAGCAGCGTATTGGAGACGGGATTTTTTTAAAAAAAAAAAAGGGCTCAAGATGAGACACATTTTTCTTGCCTAAGTTCACATATATACTATGTGTGTCATATATACATACGCATGGTTGTCACGAATAAAAGAATATCTCTATTGTCTCTCATTCACTTGATGAAACTGCAGTGATTTTGTGTGAGAATTACATCAGACTGTATAGTCTTTAAACAAGAAAAGCTTTGTGCATAGATGTTATTCAAAAGTAAGTACTGCTGACTTCAAAAGAGCTTTACTAGAGTAAATATAAATAGTTTCAATCAGCATGAAACATTGTAGCAATAATAAGCACATTTACACACTATTCAAAACAGACAAAAAAACCAAGATGGAAACAAAAAGACCAGAACACATCCTCTCCAGCAACCAACACCCAAATAAACAGGGATTAACACCAGGCAAACAAGCAGAAAACCATACCTTAATCAAAGAACTGCCAAGGAGAAAACCACACCCCTACCAACACTGTCAGGGCAAGCTGCTGTATATAAACAGGGAGCCAACCCCACACTCACTTGCACTGATGATGTTACCTAGTTGGGTAATGAAATGTCTGCAAGCAAACAACCAAGCTCAGAGAGCACTGAGAACTCCACATTGTAACAATACTTTGGTTATACAATGGCTTATGTTGACTTAGTGTTAGAAAAGAGTGTCCAAAGCTCGTTATTCTAGAAGAACAATTATGGCTGTTCCTTCTCTTAGAGCAAATATTCTAGATTACTCTTATCTGTTTGAAAATTCATACTAGTTCCATTACTTCTACTGTTTTTGTTATACATGGTATATAACTTCCCTTTGCTCACTAAGCTTATTAAATCCATGCTTACAATTGAAATTCTTTTATTTTTATTTGAGAGCTGGAGATTTTTGACCTGCTTTAGATGTATTTTTTTTTTAAGCCATATTTCTGATTGCTACCTTTCTCAGGTAATTCCTGAGCTTAGTTTTCTTATTAAATCCTGCTTGCTAGTTTCTCATCTCCTGTACTTGGAAATTGTGATTATTTACAAGTTTCAGGCTACTAGGAATAAATTAAATATTTATTTGTCCATCTTTCTAAATAGACTTCCTTTTGTATCTTATTCTGATTTCATAAACATACTTTAAACATTTTTGTTTTCAGCTTTTAAGAGTCTTAATCTTGTTAAATTCCTAAACATACTCACTCACTTGGAGCTAACAATAAAAGAAGCCTCAATTTTCAATCTGTCTGCTCTCTCTGTCCTGGGAATTTCCCTTCCTGATGGGAGAATTTCCTTCATGAAAATTGTCAGTACTATAATAGTGATATGGCATTACTGGATTTAATTTAAAAAATCACAATACTGCAGACAAATCTGCAATTTTCTCTGAACAATTTAAGGAATCCACCCAACTGAGCAATATGAGGTGTAAAGAAACTTCATAAGACCAGACTGCTGGATCACAAATGAGAAATCTTTGCCTGCTTGCATTCAGCTGGGCACTTTTGCATGTGAAACGCAGTAGGAAAGATAACTCTTTGAATAGAAACATTATCATGTAACTTTGTTCTAAATGTTGCTTTGCTTTGTTACATATCACTTGCAGGTAAAATCAAGAATGTGAAATTGGGATGATCTTGCTGCTTCGTTGTGTACTTAATATAGTTTCTCTTTCATTCACATTTACCTGATGAGTTAATATGTCATTTGTCCAATCATTTGGTAAAGTGGTAATTTGTTACAAATTAAATTAATCCAGATAGATATTTAAAGCAGATTATACGGCACAGGAGCCTGATTTAGATTCAAGTCTCTGAGTTCTGTAACTAATCCATTCAGCTGCTGCAGTAGGTAGGTGTGCAATGAACAAATTCAGGATGTCCTTGTTACAAAGGACTGAACTGATCCTGTTTAGCAATTAGTAAGAGCCAAATATCTGGATAATGGAAGATGATTTATTTAAATTAATAAATACAAATTTTCTGTGTTTTCTGCTTACAATAGTGCTTCATATGTCACTAAGGCATCAGTTCTATGCATACTTAAACTCCACTGAATATAGTTGAACTTATGTGCAGAGGCTTGTTTAATGAGTGTGTACAACATTAACTTCTTGCACAGTAGCATTAATTTTAACTTTGTTTCTTTAGAGTAGAAATAATGCATTGTTTATCATTTGTAAAATGGTCCACTGTAAGCAAAAATACCTTCAAAACCAATAAAACTGTTCCTTTAGTTCATAGAAAGTAGGCAGTTTGTTATTAACTAATCAGACAAAGCAATTAAATAGCCCTACTGCTAGTGGCAAAATGTCAGCTGAGTTATTCTTAATTGTAGTTGTACTGCATTTACAGCGATTATTAGGAACTACTAATCTTCCTAGTGCTTTCTCCCTGAAAAGGTTATAGAGTTAATGATGAAAGAGAATGAAAGCAGAATTTCAAATGGTCTTAAAGTATATGAGGCAAACATAGATTCTTGAACCAGCAATCAGACATCAATATGTATATCTGAAATGTTCTCTGATGTTTACATTAAAGATTTCTCTTAAATAAATGGTAGTCGGCTGGATAAACAGTTGTCTTAAACTGATATTTTTATTATGCATGTGTGCGTTTGTATGTGTGCGTGTGTGTACATGTATATATATAAATAAAATATGCTGTCTGGACTAGTCTCAGCAAATGCAAAATATGTATTTCTGAGTTTTTTAATTGCACTGTAAACAATCTTCACATATTTTCTCAAAAGTTAATCCTGTTGAGCTCCTATTAAGTGTATTTCAGACTGCACTCTTAGTAATGCAATTATATGAGGATTGAGGTGTTTATCAATTGTGCAGCAAATACAGAACATGCTGAGGTTCAGCTAATTAAGAGAAAAACCTGCAGAGAATGAAATGACAGTAGTCATTCTTTAATGACTGATGTTATATTCCTAATTGATCTATTAATGTATAATGTCAGGAGGAAGATAGGAAGTGTACCTTGTTTTAGCATGAAGGACAGGTTACAGTTGCAAAGTATGTAATGACCTGCCTATAAACCTAAATTCTATATCACATTCCTTCTTTTCTGTTTACACTACAGATTTCATTACCCTTATTGCTTATATTAAACTTTCCATTTGCCAGTACAAAAGTATGAACTCTCATATTCACATTTTCTCTACAGAGGTTGGATGCTGTATTAAGTATAGGGAGTAGCTAAGTAGGCTTGTGTGAAGCCTCATATGGGTGCTTCGTTTTGATAATGCTTAAATAAAACATCTTTTGGTGAAGGTCTACAGATACTTCTCAGCACCATATTAGAACTGCTTTTGCACACTGAAGCCAGCATACTGAACCAGCTGCTTTAGTGGTCTTCTGCACATGCATGTGCAGAGGACATTTCTACTGAAGCTGAGTGGCTAGACCAAGTGAAATGTTTCAAATCGAGGTACTGCAAAAGAGCAGTTTTTTTTTTGTTTCAAGGCAGCTACGCATTGTATAATGCCAGGGCTAGCTACTATTTAATAGCTATCCCTGACCCTACTTGCAGATCCTATCTATGCATGTAAGCTTGACACTCTCCAACATACCCCAGAGAGCTTCCCTTTAAAAATCATGCTAGTTCTTCTAGGTCTTAATTGTCTATGTGCTTAAACTTCGTTAATAGACCTTTCCATCACTTTTCTCAGAAGTTGAACCAACCAATATGGAGCTAATCAGATCTCATTTTAAAACTTAGATTCCAATTTGTACTTTTAAACATTCATGCACATGAGAAATGATTTCAATAAAAGACTAGTAATACTAGTAGCTATTTTCTTAATATCACACAATATTTTAAAACTTTTATAATCTACAAAACTCTAAAAACAGGTAGACTGAATATTCGTTCATGGAACAAATAAAAATAATTGCTTTCTTCACCCCCACCAATATTTTAAAATAGCATTAAACAAGGGAAGCCAAAATGGAAACTGCCTAAATTCTCCTTAAATAGTTGTGTTTTTACCTATATTCTAAAGCAATATAGTTTTAGGATCTGATGGATCTAACTTTGTTTCCCAGTAAGATGTGTAATTACAGAAAAGCTATACTACTCATGAGTACATGTCAGAATTTAGAAGTTTGAGTAAACTGGTATAAGGAAGCTAGTGATGATCAAGGGCATGTATGGAGAAACATGTAGAATTTTTGCACTTGACTACTCGCAATTTAAAATATGTGCTTTATATTTTCTAGATTCCCCATCATATCAGTAAAGTTTTTACATAATTGGACATCAGATTTTCATAAAATACTATTTTTTTCTTCAGTTTCAGTACAGTAAGTGGTTATATATTGTTGTTGACTGTAGTCTATTTCAGTTCACATCCTATGAAATATTTATTTGTGTATAGCACAATTAAAATTACGTTGCATCTGAAGGTTTTATATTACATATGCTTTGCTCCCACCAGACTTGCAAATATTTCATCTCAGCTTTAACTGATGACTGGTTAATCTGTTCTTGAGGATAAATCATTTTGGAATGTCTGCTGCAGCCATCGAATCAGAAGATGAGGTCCCATCACTTTTGTGGGGTTTGAATCCCGTTTTTTCATCCTTTGCACGACTATACATTAAAGACATACTAGAAATGAAAGAGTCTAAACAGGTTCCAGGTAAGTAGTAAAACTGCTATGAAAGTTATAACAGTATAACTTGTTTTAGTGAAAAATCAAGCTTTATTGTGTTGTTGTGGTAGATAATCTGACTACAAATTCTATTCCTTTGGCTCTTCCATTATTATGCTGAAATCTCTTCCTTTTCATTCCAACTTTGTATTACTTTCAGAGAGAGCAAACTTGAATCTTTTCCTTTGTTTGAAATATAATAGAAACAACTTGAAATCCAATATATTTATAACTGTACAACAATAATCACAGGCATCTATAGTTATTAATTCAAAATAATTCATCAGTGCTGTGGTCATTTTTTTTAGTTAACAGGAAAAAATCAGTAAAAGTATATGTATATCTTGATTCTGTTCTAATCTTTGTGTTTCTAGTCTAATTGTCTTTCTTGAACTTTATAAGAATAAATTGTATAAACTTGCTCTCCGCCATTGATTCTTGTATGTGATTGTCTTTCCAAAGTATTGATTCACTGTGTAGCATATGTGATGTTATGATTTTTCTAGCACTAGAAATATAGCTGCAGAGACCTGTTGAGTAGCAAGAGTTTTTGACATTACTTTAGTACTGACATGGTAAAATCTGAGCAATTGTTGCTTATCTACTATGAATTCCTGAAAGAACTACTGTTCCAGTCACCCACAGTGTATGCAGTTGTTGAAAATGATAGGGATTGTTATCCAGTAACAACTGAAGACCCAAAGTTAGGAACCAGTTTTCCAGGAAAATTTTATATTGATTTCAACTGTACAGTATAGCAAGATAAAGCATGAAGACTATTTTAAACTACTTTTTATCAATATTAATATATTGAGTTAATATTTTAACTATTAAGAAAAAAGATGAGGAAGCCTTGTTCATGAAATTAGATTTTGCTAAGCAAGCAAGAATACCACATTTTTAATAAATAAAACCAAGTGAAAAATTTCACAAATCTCTGTGTCTTGATGTAC